CGTGAGAGAGATGCAGAGTGCAATTGCAACAGCCCATTGCATTGCCTGATGTATTTCTGTATTCTGGTGAATGACTTTTAACTCGCTTTTACTTTGTGGAAATATAGGTCAACGTATAGGAGGTCGTTGTATGGCATGATTTAAAGGAAAATGATGTATTCTCATTTTATTTGGTGTAATTAACTGTAAGAATGTTAAAAAGAAGTGGTAAATATTGTGTAATTAACTGTAAGAATGTTAAAAAGAAGTGGGAAATTTTCAGAATGCTTTCACAAGACTGATCGTGGTGATGGTGATAGAGATGTAATGGTACTAGGGAAATTGTAAGTTGGAATATGAATAGTACACAGAGAATTGGTCAATATATAGCTTAAATGCAACCCCACGATGGCCCCCCCCTGTATGGCAAGGAATCCACCATCTAGTGTACATATAGGGGGATAGAATGTAGGGCAAACACAGCATTGGGAGCTCCCATATGTCAGTTGTATGGTCTATCCAACCATGAATATGTGGGATTTTTTATATTCCAGAGCAAGGGTTGTGGGGGGGGGGCAGTAGTTTCCTGAGGGGGAGTGTCGTGGGTGTGTGCTCTCTGTATTGACTGTATATTGACTAATGCATTGTATGTTATTCATATTTTACCCTGCAATTTTCCTGGTACCTTTCATGCCTTCCCTTGCTATCGGGGCCAAGACTGTGTGGGTTTAGGAGGGTTCCATGGCATAATTTCTGTATATATATTTAGAAAATAGAGTGTAAAATGAATCCATCGCTGCCACTATCATCATGATCGGTTATGTGAAGGTATTCTAAACATTCACCAAAGAAATGAGTGCGCTCACAGAGTGTACCTAGAATAAGCATTTAGATATCTTACAGAGACCTTTTTTTTCTAAGTTGCTCAAAATATTTACAGAGTACAGTTATCAAGTACTATTTTGAAAACATAGTTCATTCCTGCGACATATTAACCCAATGCCGCTGGGTATGACATGTATGTACGTGCTATGCTCACTGCGAGTACTTGTTTGATTGTTTTTACACATAGATGGCAACACTTGTACTAAATCACCAATGAGCAAATTACGAGTACCGCCTGTTTCGTCCGATCACCCTTTTCTTTGATTTACGAAATGTTTTACGTTATCTTATTTTGCTGTTACTAATGTTAAAAAAAACATTATAAGAATTATAATGTTTATGATAAAAATAACATTGATTTTCATAGCACTAGTGAAAAATACGTTTTTCCCGCCATTTCAAATCAGGCGCTACCAGAGCCATCTATCGGCTGACATTTCACGAAAAACATAGAAAGTGGGCACAGCATTTTCCCCATTTTTTGTTCCTTTTCCCTGGCGGCATTGGGTTAAGTATAGAGTGGTGTATGAACTGTGATCTTGGTATTTTCAATTTACTTGAATATGATTTACTTGATTTTAGTGATTCTGGGATGATTTTAAATTATATTGATCTTATTTTTCCCTACTGTTTCTATTTTCTGCTATGCCCTATGTTTTGTGTATTATGATTACAGAAAAGACTTGGAGTAACAAGGAACTGAATGCAGTCTTTGCTTATATACAAAGAGGGTCTATTTAAGATTAAGCCATTTAGCTATTCCAAGATATAGTGAAACCCTCTCCAATTTGTATCTTGACCAAATTTTGCTTATCCTGGCTAAACCTAAGATTCCAGCCAAGCCCTATGTATTTCTAGAATCTCATATTTATATGTATAGACAGGTCGATAGATAGATATAGACATATATAATATATATAATATGATACATTTATTAATGTTCTTTTTCTCTTATCAGAGTTTCATCTGCACTCGTGGTGAAGATGGATTTTTCAGCTGTACAGTTTGGGGATGAAATGCTTGGTTAGTAAACATATGGAATTTTGTCTTAGATTTGGTATTTGTAGTTGCTGTTCAGTCCTTGAAGTTATAGAGAACTAAAGCTTTATATGCAGTAAACTAATGAAAGCATTTCTGTGTTCAATGTAAGATACTTTAAATTAAATTTTGATATAATGCAGATTCTTTTTTAAGCATCCGGCAGCTAATGATTAATGTGATTCTTCTACTATGTAACCAAAGCTAAAATAAATTATGTAAACTGACTTTTTTGAAGACTTGCCATGTACTAAGTAAACTTGATCTGTGCATGGTGTTTTTTTCTACCATTATTACAACTTTCATGAATGATATATATGTACACTAGTGCTAATGCAAGTTCATCCAACAGGGTATGATGGGAGCAACACCTTTAGCGAAGAGGGTACAGCCTACGCGGAAATGTACGGGGGGGAGGGGGGGGAAGGCTTCCCAGCTGGTGGTGAATTTGCCCACGACTCCCAAGAGGTGGAATTCATGAATGGCGGAGACTACCAGGAGAGCCAGACAGTGTTGGTGGATGGAGGCGACCGCTTCGGAGTGTCAGCCGTCACTGTGGACAGGAAGGAAGAGCTTGTCTGGATGGGTAATTCAGGGG